TGCATCAGAAGTAACTAACCTTCGCGCGGGAGATGGAAAGGAAGCAGACACTCATCAGCATACCGCTGATGGTGACTTGACCGTCACCAAACTTGATGCCGTCCAGGTAAATGACACTCAAACTGTATGCACTGATCAAGCAGTTCAAAGCGAGAATCTTGTACATCTGGATGGTCGCAACAAGGGTGCAGCGTCCCTGACGAAGAATGTTAGGGATGGCGATAACATTGGCAAGCTTGCTGGTGAACGGAGCAGCGACCGAGGCGTCTCCGAGCTTCAAAGTCGGGGGTTCGTTGTCATCGAGTTCTTGTTCCATCATGGACGTGGTGAGCTTGTCAGCGAATCCAGCAGCAGACACCGCCGCCTGTTGCCGCCGCTGTTGTTCGGGGGTCAAATTGGCGTTGGACTGTTGTAGGGCTTGGGCGCCGGGCGAGGTAATGGTCGGAATTGCTTCTGCCTGGGCCTGCGCACCTGAATTGGCGGCGCCCTTGCGCTGCGCTTCACGATCGATAGCCTTCTGGTAGTGGGGGTTGCTGGGACCAGGGGGGTACAAGTGGGCGATCTGAAGAGGAACAGGAGGAGCGGGCTGGTTGAAACGTTGCATCATACCAACCTGCTTCTCGTAGATTTCCTTCATCTTGGTAGTTCGGTAATGGTCGGCGATTCTTTGAAGATCCTCAGGGGAACCGTTCAGAAGGGCAACGCCAACATGAGCTTGCTTCAGAGCACCAACGTCGTTGGTACCATCACCACACATCAGAGTCGTGTAACCAGCATCCTTAAGACCCAGGAGAATATCTTCCTTCTGCTTAGGAGAGACACGGGCGTAAACCCAAGTGTGGCGAAGAAGATCGGGCAAGGCCTTCTGTCCCTTGAACTTAGCCAAAGCGTAGCCAGTGACACAGATGTCCTTGGTGTCCAGGATGCGACGGTCGAGGGCTTGGGTAGGATCGACATCAATGTTAACTTTGTCATCAATGCTCCGCCAGACCAGCTTTGTTCCAGACTTGTCATTCTCAGGAGCATCGAGGATCAAAACCTCACGGTCCACAATTTCGACTTGACGCGCAACATGGACGGCAGTCAGCGGGTTGTCACCGGTGATCATAACAACACGATGGCTACTCTCGTTAAGCATGCGAACCGCCTTGATGGCATCGTCCTTAAGAGGGCACTGCAAGACGAGGAAGCCGGCAAAGGTCAAGTCAGACTCAACATCCTCACGGGTGTAGTTGTTGATGCGTCCGCGAGAAAATTCGGACTCATGGGAAAGATACTTGTAAGCGAGAGCAAGGACACGGGCACCGTTACGGGTGAAGTACTTGTAAGTCTCTTCGTAACCCGGAGGAGTATCAACAAGCATGGTACGGATAGTCTCAGGAGCACCTTTGACACCCACAAAGGTAGACTTGACCTTCTTGTGGGCCTTGCGATCATCAAGGACAACAGTAGCAATCGTGCTCTGGCGCTTAAGCGCAGAAGAGAACTGGAACCGCCTCACAACTTGAACGGACTCGGGAACAACGGGACCAGTGGCAGGCGTGGCCTTACCAGTCAAGGTATCGTTCTTGCCGAGGGTCCAACCGAGCCACTTCAGAGTAGCCTTCTCCATGGGGTCACCAACCACTTCACCCTCATCGAGTTTGACCAGGGCGTGAGCACTGGCGAGTACAAGCGTAGTGTCGAGTCCGATGTTACCACCCTTGGCCAGCTCGGTGTGCGCGCCGTCCGATTCAACCTTAGCACCGGCGTGACCAAGAGTAAGCCCAGCAACACCGTCAACAACAAGATCTTCACCGGTCAGTGTGCCGGTTTTGTCAAAGCAGGCAACATCGACGCGTCCAGCGAAAGGAATCCGGAAAGGCTCCGTGCAGAAGATGGCGAACTTGCTCAAGGCAGCCAAGCTGGTGTTGACGGCAAGACTGAGTTCCATGGGGAGTTCGGGAGGGACGACGCTGGTGATGATCAAGACACAGTCCAAAAGGAGCTTTGACCTCTTGCGATCCTGCGCAACACCCTCCTGCCAGACGTACCAAGAGGCGGCGATGGCGAAAATGAGAAGGAACAGGATGAAAAGTAGAGCTTCCGCATTGTTGGCAGAGACGCGTTCAGTAGAGTAGATCATTGTGCGCACGAGACTACCCTGGCTGGTCTCGAATCCGGTCTTGACGACGACACCGAGCGCGCCAGCATCCGGAGTAGGGAGAATGCTCGAATCATTCTTGTAAACGAGATCCTCGGGGGCGGTGTTTGCATGGGTAATCTGCAGGACCTTAGTACCTCCGTGAACGAAAGCGTTCTTATCCAATCCATCAGGCTCAATCAGGTCGTCTCCGGGTCTGAGCTGAACTGATTCCTTCAGGAGAGGTGTGCTCTCCCCAGAAAGCATAGCCTCGTTGACGATGGCGCTGCCCTCGATGAGTAGAATATCACAGGCAACACCGCCATCCTCCTTGGTACGGTTGACAGACATAAGGTCACCGGGCAAGAGCTTGTCACTGGTGATCTTCTGCCACTTCTTCTCACGGTAGACCCAAACATCGTAAGGCTTGATGTTCATACCCCGGAACTCACTGAGGGTCCTCTGCCGTTGCCAGACGACTGTGCTCTCGAACATGACGAGCATGAAGAGCGTGAACAAGGAATAGTACCAGTATTCATCCAGCATCCACAAACCGACACAGAAGATCTGGAAAACGAAGAAAGGCGCGACTGCGTGCTCCTTCCAGAGCTCAACGAAACCGGGAACGGGAATGTCGAAAGTGTTATCTCCATAGTGGTGGCGAACGCGCTCAATTTCTTCCTTGGTCGTGAAGCCCTGGCTCTTCTGAAAGAACTTGAGTGCAGGCTTGGGCTCTGCATCAAGAACGTACGACAGAGGAGCGAAGGACTTAGTCTCTTCATTGAAAAGAAAACGGCGCTTCTGGAACAAGAACGAGATCGTCTTCTTTCCACCACGAGTGTCAACGACCAACGGACAGATCTCAGCGGAGCCAGCGTTGGCGGCCGGGATGACCTTGATAAGACGGGCAGAATCGACCGACCGGGCCTTGGTAGCGGTAAATAGGGTTTGGATATTAATATTCCATTTTGTCATCAGCCAAAGGAGTGACTGCGCCGTGATGATCGAGCCAGAAAAAACGAAGGTCCATTCCTGGCCTTGAATGTAGGTATCGTATCGCTCAGGAGACAGGTAGAAAGCGAAAAACGCCGGCCAGATAACCAGGAAAGGCCAGACGTAGGTGTGTAGCTGTGTGGGAAGGGGATTGTGAAGCGAAGCATATTTGATCTGGTGATCATCCACGAGTTTCGCCCTATGGTCAGACATGCGTGTTAGTAGATGAATGAGGATAAATGCAGGCCAAAGAAGGCGAAACTAACATGATGACACTCGGATGACCACGACGCGGGTCAAACGACGCGAACTTAGAAAGTTGGAAAAGGCCTCTCAGTAGGTAAGCATAGGTGATGAGACGCCTAAACCATGGAATCCAGGCTGCTGATGTCGAGCCGCTGTCGCAACGAGAGATGAAGAGGAAAGCACGAAGAAGCCACCTCAACGGTATAAATTTGGGGATTTCCTCGCCGCCGGGAGCTGGAGGTACGGAAACCCCCGTCGGTGGTTACGATTGGCCGCCACGTGCCCGCACGGAGCTGGGATTTTCCCGGCCGCTTTGATAAGAGATGATGCAATTCCCATCCATGATCCATTGACCTCCACACAGCTTTGTTCTCTCTGCAACCAGTACAACAGTAAGGGTCCAAAGTACCAGGCTGGGGTATATCTGACTGCCCTGCAAGCCGCCCAGGGCAGCTATAGACCACATTTCTCAATCCTCCATATGTCTCTTCCGGGGTATATGCAACATTTGCGCTGACTAGGCATCGATAACTGCATGCTGATGTTTGGCCCACAAATGTCACTACTATACTTTGGATGTATCAATTCTGATCTGTAACGAGTAGATTGCAGCCAGACAAGCCAACAGACTCTTAATACATCCTCAGGCTTGACCACAACATGCCGACTTGATTCGTTCCCCACGCTAGATTGTCGCGTGCATGGATAACCACTCGGGTTGCTGTAGATCGATACGATATATCTACTACTGAGTCGTAGCCATAAATACCTAAAGTGAGCAAGGCTGGGCGCGGCGAACAGCCTCCCGATGAGCTTGCTGAGGAGGACAACCTCCAATGGAGCACAGAGTCCTCCCGAGCTCACGTTTGGCGTGTTCAGAACGCAACATCAGAGCTCTACCGGCTGATAGTGGCTGGGGCACTTCTCAATACTGACTGGCGTGCCGCGCGTTCAAGGTCCGCAATGAAGGTACAAGCTCGGTCCTCAGATCCGTGTCCCTCATTCTGCCGTGCAGCTTGTGTGGCTAGGTCATTAAGGAACTGCGAGACCTGACTCATGAGGACAACATCGTCCGTCGCAGTTTGTGCGCTTGGATTTGGTGGGTATTCCAGAGAATTGTTTGCATAGCGATTATGGAGTAGAATATGACGAGCCTGAAAGACTTCAGGTTAGAAGACTTAGCGAGAGATAAGAATCCAATGATCAGCGGACGGGTAGTAGGCCTTTGTTCAGATTGCGAACCAGAAGACCTTAGGCTCCAAAACCTGCTTCACTGCTAGCAGAAATTGCAAGGATGAACAGCAGGCAGACACAGAGATTTCTAAGCTTGTACCGACTCCCTCCAGCTCTACTTTATGCCGGAGGCTCCATGACTTGCAGCGAGTGCTTGCCAGATGGACATAAGCCAGACAGTGGTGAAATTCGAGACGAAGCATGACCGCCCGCATGTCTGCGCCATCCCGGCCAATACCGGCGGCTGCAGAGAAGAAAAGCTTCGGACGATGATCAGGTGCAACGGTCATTCGCCATTCTTCCAGCTGACCATCTAATGTTCAGATGGCCTGCAGAATCTCCCCATCACTTTTTTCGAGGGCTCGTCGAGAGTACAAAGCAGTATAAGCCCGGCAGCGGATCTCCGTTAACCGGAGATCGCCGGGAAATAGAGGCTGTGAGTAAATGTCTGCTTCCATGGTAAATGAACATAATCCTTGTAGCCTCCAGGAAGACTCAGGTCGCAATTGTGCTCAGATAGAAACGGTGGCTGTTCCGTGCGCCGACCAAGTTCTTCATCGAAATGATAGCACAACCAGAAAAGGTTTCGAAGATGCGCGTCTACCCTAGTCCCTAGCTCACTCGAATTGGTGAAGAGCGACGCGCGCTCGAAGCATGCCTTGGAATGGCCTCCAAGAAGGAGTACTACTCGAGAGGCGAAAGTGCTCCACATGACAGCCATTCGAAGTTTTCCCGAGAAAAGACAGACGACAATCGTGATGACTGATGTTTGCAGCAGGTCTAAGTCGGGCTCTTGCCCTATGTGCATTGAAGTCTCAATATAATGCAAAACGCACAAACGTTCAGTTGGCGATGTCCGATGGCCTGCGTCTAATTGATGTATTGACATGAATAGAATGCAAGGAAAGCCCACACGCAGAGACAATCAGACTTCCTAGCCCCTCGCCCACGGGGATCAGTCTCATAAGCATACGATACAGTTTGGTCGAAGAGAACGGGGTCTAGTGTCGGGAATATGGAGCTATAAATCGTAGAGTAGAAGTCAACGGCCAGGGATTTGATCACATCATGCTCAGGTAGACTTGTTCGGTCGATTGAACTCGATTCATGATTCAGACCGGGGCCAAATTGTGCAACATTCTCCCAGGGTGGAGAGTTAGAAGACTCAATGGTCGGTGATGATCGTCTGGAAGGCTGGCTAACCTGCGTGCCCGATAATGCAGGTATGGTGTCTGAAGATGATGACAACGAGGCGCTCCCTTCAGTTATAGGGACTTTGCCACTCAAGTGCGCCGGAGAGTGATTTCGAGGTTTACTAGGCGGTAGGGTAGAATCTCCCACCACATCATTATCAGACGCATTGGTATGAGGTTCTAATGTGACACTCAATTTTTGCGGTACTTGAAACTAAATGAGACACCTCGTGCTCTGTGCTTGGGCAAGCTTGTGAAGTGAAATTCGAACTGACCGTTTTGAGAGCTGCTAGCATTTTCTCGTGGCTGCCTAAAGACGGTCACGTCAGCGCACACTTGAGGAGCCAAGTAGGGAATCTCCCCATGAATCACTCCAATGACCCTCAGTTGAAAGAAGCCGTGGTATTGATATAAGGAATTCACTCACATGTAAATTGCGACGTCTCTTGCGTTGCCTATCATATAGACAGGGGACGTCCTGATGAGTGCACCAATTGCACCGGGGTTGGGCCGCATCGCATTTTATCTATACACCATGAGGCTTGGCTGATAGACATCATGTACTGAGTAGATAGCTTACCTTTTGCCGATGACATCTATCACAAGCGCGTGAAACCCGTGTTCTACCTGCTTTTTCTCCGAAGGCGAGAGAAACCACCTTGAAGCCGGAATTCATGTTGTCGGGGCGCATCCGAGAGTAGCATTTTGTAGAGCCGTTAGCGCAGGAACAGGAACCCCCTACAATTCTTTTCGGGAAGCCGAAGCGTACGGGATCATGATCTCCAACCCAGCCCACGAGATCGGGATTGCCGCTGGAAATACGTTCTTTGTCTATGCTTGCATCGCCCAAGAACACCTGGGATGACGAAACTGAGTCGGGCCTGGGACTAGCCATGAAATTATAGGTTGTTCTTAATTTGCATTTGGGTTGAAAGACCAATGACCTATCGCAGGGGAATTCCAAGCTTGGATGGTAGACCGTGATAAAGACGATGCCGCAAAGACTTCTGAGCGCCAAAGAGCAGCCCTACTCTTATACCCGTGGCAAGTCCGAGGCAGGCTACAACATTGAGGCAGAATTCTCTGCTTGCACAGGGGTTGGTCTCCACCGATCAGATTCGCCTTCCCAAGGCCCGATAGGAACCGTGACATAACAAGGCGCAGGAGATGACCTCCCGGTACATCCTTCAGGAAGTAAGACCTAAAACGAATGCTCTCAAGGTCTGATTCATCTAGAGCGTCTTGGAGCATCTGCTCCCATACTATGTTTGTTTGAATTCAAGACCGAGTTGAGAGAGAGAGAGAGAGAGAGAGAGAGTCGATCCCAAGGGACTTGCGTTGGCCAAAATGTACACTGGAAGCGACCCCAGTACCCATGCCTTAGTACGTTATCACTTGTTCAGTTGGTTCCAGTAGTTGGGAGCAAGTCGGTTCAATTCAAGGTTGAATTGGTTCAATCGATCCATTCCTCCAATCAGGGCAGCTGCTTGTATCAAGTTCACCGAGTGCGTCAAGAAATGCTGAGGTATTCGGCATTTTTACCTTTTCGAGACCGGCAGAGGCGAAGCCTTGGAGAAGCTTTTGGACGAAACATGACATCACATGTGTGCGAATGAAGAATATATGCATCAGTCTAGCCCCCCCCCCCCCAAACTGGCCGTCGATTGCAAAGGCATGCACTAATCGATATGCTCAGTAGCTTTCAAAAGCTTACATGCCGACGCCCAGGCACTCTCCTACATAGCTGTCTTAGTAATCTTGGCTGTATGCTTGATTGTTATTCTATGAAGGTAAAAGACTAGGGCTTGTCCGAGTAAGGTATACCTACTACCTACTAACAGGAGGTCGTGTAGACACACAGAAATATCATAACGGTAATTAAATATATCGTAAGTAAGCTGCCAGTAGCAGGAGAGATCCTATACAATGTCTGAAGTCACCACAAAAGACTTGTGTATATTGACCCCATTCATTCGCTTAGGCTTCGGGTTGAGGTCCTCCTGACTACTGTGCGGGCTCCCAGCCGAGGTTTGTATAGTCGTGACCACGCCCTGAGAATCTTCCGGATCGAGATCCGGCCGCCAGTATTTCGTCGCGTTGCTCTGTGAGGGGTGGGTTGCATGGCCGATCGAGCTCGAAAGAGGTATGCTACCCCCTGTTTTCTTGCTACGTGTGGCGCCATAGCTGGCGTCACCAAGCCAGCGAAAGAGAGGACGCAGGGTTACAAGACACCCTGCCGTGATGCCAAGGCCAGCCTCGACATTGGACCAGATCGAGATCTGCGCTGTAGCGTCTGAAGAAAGTTCTAATAAGTAATTTGTGTGGATCTCGTGTGGGGTGAAATCGAAACTTACAGAGGAACTCCTTGTCGTTGTAAGTAGGCAGAAAAGGTATGCGTACAATCACAGCTGCGCTGGCTCTATCGGCTCATTAGTTCATGGCTGATTATCAGGCAATGAAGGTTTATCCAAGAGTACTCACACGCAACCCATGCTCAAAATCCCTGCTAGCGCAGCCTTAGTTCTTGTACTCATTTGCAAGTTCCAGACTAAAAAAGCAGGTAACAAGCCCAGAATCAAGTCGCAGACCATGGCTGTTACACTATACAGGTAGGCGATATCGATGAGGTAGTCGATAGAGATGCAGGTCCCAGTGGAATGAAAACGTCGCCAAAAGTAGGAAACCGGTTGGCATTCTAGAGTCAACATGAACCAGAACACCAGGCCCACGACAATCGAGATGGCAATGACAAACCACAAGAGCATCTTGTGTATCCGTGAGACGGTAAGCCGGAAGAGAGTCAATGCAATGGAGACCTTGGCAACAACTACCGTCACGACATAGCTTGTTTGACCTAACCACCACCACTGCAAAACATCAACTTACTTTGCCGTTTGGAAAAGGGTATTCTTAGATCACATACAAACAAGGCGGTTTCTAACGTGTCTTGGTCAAGCCACTCGAGTTTTTGGCCCATGCCATACACTGACCCGGTGATACCACATAAGGCAAATAGAATCTCCAGCGCCTATGGTGGATTCACTCAATCAGCATGATTCAACAAGAAAGCCACGAGGATGGCAATAGCAGCTAGCCACATACCATGGCTAGAACCATCAATGCATCGTCCCATCCGAATGCGCGCACCAGTCGCAGTCTCACGAAACATCGTAAGCAGACGGAAATGAAGGAAAGTCCGAGGAAGACCACGGTAACAACGAAGATGGGCTCGCTGCGACCTTTGAACTCAACCATTGTAAATTGTCTGTGAGGTGAGGTCAATCACGACTGAGGATAATAGTCTAGGAGCCGATGACATAGTTATCTCAAAGCGGAAAAGCAACCATCAAGGAAGCGAGGAAAGAGAGAGAAAGAGAGGCGGTAGCAGCACACGAAATATTGCACTGCAGGTGCCGGACGATAGCACTTTAAGGGGAGCAGACTGGCTGCATAAGATGAAGAAGCTTCTACGCTAAGGAGTCGGACCGGGTCGGACTGTCTGACAAGGCATGGAATGGAAGGTTTAGTGAAGAGTGATGGGGCATGGACCCAGTGGCAAGGAAGCGACTCTGAGGGTGAAAGAGTGACACATGGATCCCAGCAACTGCAGCTTGGGTGGGGAAGGGTTACCTAGGCACGTTCTGAACTCCGAAGGTGACCCCTCTATGCCATCATTTCTAGTGCCTAGGGCCAGGAATAGACTTTGGCAAAAGCTGAAGACCCATCGGCAAGCTTGAGTGAGGTTCAGTCATGAGAAGCCCTTTCAGCAATGGCCAAAATAGGCTGATCGGCACCGGCCTAGCAGTGCCAAAAGATGGCTCTGGGGCAATCTTGCCATGAAAGGAAAATGTAGTCAGTAGTCCACTTCAAGGTGCATTGCATTGGTTCGGGTGGTTCATCACTCCACCTGTCTCTGGAGTCTGGACGGGGTTACTTCCAAAGGTGGGGAGGGGAGAAAGGGAACCTCCTCCAGGAACGGACACCTTACTACAAACGATCCTAGTAGCATCAATGCTGACAACTTGAAGACAACATGCAGTAGTTGCTAAACTATTCCACTGTCTACGTTTCTAGGAGTCTAGGCTATGGTTTACCATTGGCTCGAACGATTGGTGTCTCGAACCTTTGGTGCCGTAAATATGCGGCTTGCTGTGCGATGGAACATTGAGTACTAGCTTGCCAGTGGAGGTCAGCTAGACATGCATGCAGATGGGTACCAAGAATCGCACCCTGCAGGGGACACACGCGGATAATCCAGACCTGATTGCCATGTTACAACAGGCTCCTGGACCCGAGAACGTGAGGAACGACGTTGTGGAAGTAAGGTTGTATTTATGATCGCAGACATAGAATAATTCTAGAGTAAATAGAGACTGTTCCTTAACAGGGGGCCGATAGGCTCGGCGTAGGGCAAGTTCGAAGTCTAATCCTCTATAATCCATGGAATTGAACAGCAACTAAATAACAGATATCCACTGCAAATAAAGGTCCTGTCCGTTCTCCTGGGACAGCCTTGACCAGGAATAGATCTTGCAGGATATTCTTTCTCAAGCCGCCCCAAGGTACTGCACTTGTAGCAACCAGCCACCTCCATAGCTAGTCCATCGGAGCATATCAAGATGCGCAATCTCGGCAAGTGAATTCACGATTCAGCCCGGACAAAAAGTAAACCAGCTTGATCGATCTTGTTCGCACAGGGTAAAGATAGACAGCCCCACCGACGGATGCGACGGATGTTTCATTTCGATCTTCTTCCCTGTCAACACCGTTGGACTGGAATGAAAGCCTATCTCCGTGACATTGATGTGTGAATGACAAGCTACCGACTTGTGCTGGGATATTTCCTAAAACAACAACATATCTTTGATCCGATCCTTTAGCATGATTTGGGACTGTATTCTTCTGTGTGGGCGAGCGGGCTACTTTGACTAATCAAACCACCATGACTCGTGACGGGCGATTGCCGAACAGTCTCCAACCGTCTCAACGTGCCCCTCTTCTGAAGTCCTTACCCGGCAGCACAACTCCACAATTAATTTGAGCCTGCCGATCCAACAAGAGGATCGCATCTGAGGATCTCAGATGCAGTTACACTTGTTTCACCCTCCTCTTCTTTCCGAGTAGGACAATATGGAAACGATCGCATTGTCAACAGGGCCAGAGGCAATATCTCTTGCGCGATGCACAATCTGTTCTATTTGACTTTTCCGTATACACGTCTGACAGGTGCCAGGTGTCAGCACTTGATGCCAGGGACAATTTCTTCGCCATCTCGCCTAGAACCTGAGCTAGCCTCTAGTGCCGCCGAGCTTCGCAACACCCTATCATCATTCGCTGGGAGAAGGGAAAGCCATGTCATCGTGCACAATTTCCCCCCTTTCTCTCAGTCCCTAGACTCCCTACAATCGATGATTCGGAGGAGGGTACCCATTTCCGGTCTTGCTCCGCTTATGGTTTCAACCAACAGTGGAACATGGCGGGAGCGGCGTCCACGAACCATAATAAGCTCGGCTATCAACTTTGCATTAGTACCACTAAACGTATGCTGATAACTGTGTACGCACGGCATCGGGAAGTCTCGCGTGCACTACTGTTGTCCTGCTTCTAGGATCTCCCCTTGAATAAGCCGGGCACTGAAGCCTGGGTGTCAATCCTAATCCACAGTTTACCGATTGAAAGAAAGAAATTCTCGATGAGCAGAACATCAAGGTACTGCATGTTTCCAGGGTGGTACAACGTCGGTACTCCCCTCCTCTTATCTGACATGGAAACTTGAGGTCACTGTCAACGTCACATGCTAGGTAGGCTAGGCCGGTCCCCACCTCCTGAAACGGTTGTTGCTTGAATGCACGTTTCATCTGTCATCGGTCGAACTGTCAACACAATGCCTTAGATGCTATTTTGAGCCACCAGGTGGAGTGATCTGGGCTCTATACTCTTATAGCATCCGATGTTATGCTCCAAGAGTGCGCGAGATCCTTCTCTGAACTCTCACCAACTTTTAGGTTTGTCACACGTGCAACGGTGCTACGCATATACGGAGTACCACCAGAGGCCGGGGATCTGAGTTGACACTTTTGCCCTATGCAATAGTCACCTGAAGTAGAGGGGCTCGTGTTACCATTGGGTTCCAATTCCCCTCGCTCTGGGCGATGCCAAAGGCGCTGAGAGCTCAATTGTTGCCCTATGGGAGCACAGGTGGTTTCATGCTAGGTTAGATCCAGTTGAGCGCCAGTCACTATAACAGCCAAGTCTTTCACAAGAGTAATCTCGCTGCAGATTCCCAAGATTTTGAGAGGGAGAGTAGCATTTCAGGTAGGCGAAGACTGTACCTAGTAGTACAGTAGTCTAGCCCGCGGCCCGCGGCGGCATGCTAGATTACCAAATTGGGACAGCAGCGCAGAGGACGAACCTGATCTGGGGACAGTTCAAGGTTGGTGCATGCGCCTCCAGCTTCTATCCCGCATCCAGCCCCCTTCACATGGGAAGCTCCAGAGCGTAGATATCTGCAGCTGCAGTCTCGATTCAATGATTATTCTAGGTCCTGAAGCCTCCTGGCCAGGCCATCGCCGCTATGCGTGTGATTGCTCATGTTATACCTTGCACCCTTGCTTATGGTCTTTGTCTCTCCACTACTCCATCTCTCCATCTACCATCGCATGTACCTTTGGCACGCTTTAGCAATCATCAATCCTGAACACGTGATATGAAAGGAGCAAGCGAAGACATGAGTATAATGTGTAGCGTAAGAGTATGTAGAGAGCACAGCGCACGTCAGATCGATCCGGTTGGCCCCAGAGCTGTAAGTTAGCATGTCTCCCTAGGCCAAAACAAGGCTTGCCGCTTGTTGAACAAAGACAAACATTTGAGCAAGCGCAATCGCACTGAGCGTCATGAGAATTGAATCCCTCATGCACAAATCGAAAACAGCCTGCTGAAAGAAGATATCTGTGCTGACCACCTGGCACCAGCCTCAGAAAATGCATAGGTATAAGTCTCTGCAAGCTAGGTGATTCGTCTGTTGTAGGTTCTGAGAAGAGGTCACTGAAGAACAGCATCCACGAGGCCGCCCCCTCCTTCAGCGATCGTTCTGAGACCATAGGCTGATGTAATCCTGTCGGTAGTCTCGAAAGAGACACTTCAAGGCCTGTGTCATGCTCTTGTACACTAACTAGCAGTCGACCGATCGTTGCTCAGATCCCTTCATAAATCGGCTAGGCTCTGATGAGCCCCTCCCCGATCGGGATCTCGCTGCATCATGGCCATCATCTTTTCTCTAATACGTCGATCATTCATCCCCGTCTCCTCGAAAAAGCTTCAGGATTCGGCCTGACAGGGAGAAGAACTCTTCCAGGCCATCATCCACAGTATCTGCTTGTGAGTGCTGGTCTTGAAATTGCAGACGGTACTATGATCGGTATCGGTGATAGAATAAATGGAATGCACGAAAAGCACGCGTGACCTTATACTACGGTCGGAAACATCTTGGAACTACGAACCCACGTAGCTCCGCGAGTGGATGCCTCCTCCAAGAGTGCTCGGGGCAGCTGCTAAGCGAACACAGTAAGTATCAAGAGTCAAGACCGGGCTCGTATGGGTCCTTGTCCGAGTCGAAGTTCATCCATCCTTGACGCTATGCCCTCGCTTTTCCACCCAATGTACAATCTCCGCCCCTGTCTGTGTTCCCTCTTACCAGTCATGGTTATATTTGTGCTCGTCGCAGAAGATCGAATAGGATCGACGCATTTTCCGGTGAATCGGGGAGACTTGTCAATCATCTCGTCTTGCTGTATGGCGCTCGCACCGCCAACTTCGTCTGAAACTCAATCGGTCATGCCATACAGATTTGCATTATGGAACTCCAGTTCTTATATGTGCATAGCTATTTAACATGATTTGGATGGTTGGTACCATGCCACAGGAACGAAGCAATTCCATGGTTATGATGGCGGAGCAAGTCCACAAATCGTCCGATACAAATGTCCTCCGGTGATCATCCTGATCACTTGCTCAATGGAGGTATACAAGAGCACCTCCAAGACGAGGATCCCCTCCCCCCAAGTTCGGTGCAATACAAATACGACCAAACCTGCGCAGACCAAATCTTCTCTATAAATAACATGCAAGAAGTCTCAGACTTTCCCGAATAGATGTATGTACATTTCAAAACTGCGCTTTCCTTCATATGCCGAATGTGCCTGACATCAACTAGCCTTCCGAAAGATATCTACCACTTAGCCTGGGGGCTCTCCATGAACGCCTTCAGGATGTTGATCCGCTCCTCAAGGGCCGCAACATAGACATTCAGATTCTCCTGCACCTGAGCCTGATCATCGCCCAGTCTAGAGTAGAAGTCCTTGCGGTAAGGGCAGGCGGACATGGCAGCGGAGAAGAGGGGCTTGACAACAAAAGAGTGGTGGGGCTTGAGGGTGCCGCCGTAAGCGTTGCGGAAGGAGTCGGCGAGCTCGGTGGAGGCGTTGTTAATGTTGTGGCGAAGAGCTTGGGCGGTGAAGTCAAGTCCTCTGTAAGAGCAACATGTCAGCTTTGTGTTGAAGAGATTGAAGGTGTCGATGAGAACCATGCATCGTGCATCGATACATGCGGCTAGGTGTCATGGGCTGAGTGACGGGGAGGGGTAAGTCAAATCTAACCTAACGAGCCAGAGGAGACCCTCGGTGGCGGTGTGCTTTCCGGTCTTGAGCTCGTTCACGACAAGCTCTTGGAGAGTCTGGGACTCAGCGGGAGCAGCCAGGAACCTGTCCCTGACTTTCTGTGATGGGGTTAGACCTGAGCGATGGCTGAATGCGGGGTATGTTTATCCAAACCTTGATGTTGCCGGTGAGGTCAGACTTGACAACGCCGAAAGCCTTGGATTGCATGAGATCTAGGAGTTTGATGTCAGCATACAGAGCTCTGTGACGTGCTATACCATGCCCAATAACGGTTGCATACCGAACAAGGTGGTCAGGGCCTCAGCAGCATCGAGGAATTCCTGAGTTGAAATGCCGTTGGCGGTGATGGGGACTTCCGCGAAGGACTTCTTGCCGTCGAACCAGGTAGCCATTTTTGTGAAAGTAAGAAGATAGAGTGTATGGTGTAGATACAAAAGAACACAGTAATTGTAGGGAGGTAAACAGAGAGAATGTGAGTCGAGTGATCAGGGGTTGGGGGGCTTTATAAGGCAACGTGGAGGGGAGGTGGAGGGCAGCTCATCAACAGCCCACGGCGGCCTGTCACAACTCACCGCCGCCGCAGGGGAGCGGGACACGCAAGCGGTGAGGTTCGAGACCAATAAACAAAGCGGGTCCCTTCGCCCCTGAGTGGTTATGTCAGCCATTGTTTCACCTGAGACAAAGCGTGCAAACATCTGAGCGGGCTCTCAGGCATTAAGGCAGAAAGGCAGTTAGGCAACAGGGCATAAACTTGGGAAAGGGGAAGACCTCCAACGAGCGACGTCATCGACTCCGGGCCAAGACTTGTCCCCAGCGTCGGTTCCTGGCCGATGCCAGATCTGCATCTCAACTCCCCCCAGCTTTCCTGGTTCGATTTTAAAAACACCCTTTGTCCTCAAGGACACCCTAGACATCTCGCCGAGGGTGTTTCACTGGAGATGTCATGACTTCTCATGCGCCAACGGAGCAGCATTCCAGTAACGGAATGGCTACCGATCCTCGTCTCGGGTATCATGGCTCCAAAAATCGCGGGCTGGATCCCGACTCTCATACTGCAGAGAAATTGGTATGTGCTTACACACAATCCACGTCCTAGCTGCTGACCCAACAAAGCATCATGCCTCTCCCAAACACATACACATGACCAATCGGCGATTCTTCATCGGCCCCATTCCGCAGGGCTGGTTGCAGAATCACCGTAAATCGTGGTGGAGGACAAGACTCAGGCTGAGTAAATACTCTTCAAGGACTGTCACTTTCTCTGCAGATCCCATGGTCGCACATTACACCGAGGAGTACGACAGTGATGATTATGAATCCTCTCCCGAAGAAGAGTCAGCTGGTCTGGCCGATACCACTGAAGACGAAGCAACAGAACGGGAATCGGAGGACGAAACCAGGGATCGTGAGCCCCGCTCGCGAAAGAGCCTACGGACTATTCCCTACACACTCTCTGAAGACAATGGGCACGAGGTTTCGCGGACGACTACTGCAGACACAAGCCGATCAACTTCTAGCGAATCAGCGAACCACGAAGGCGCGTCTACTCGAAGACAAGACGGTGGCTCTGCTTATTACACGGCTTACGAGCGCGGCCCAAGCGATGCATCCTTGGAACCCAGCAGGATGGAGTCGGAGCAACCCACGCGGGAACAAGACAGGCAAACGCTACAGGTTCCTAGCCAATATGCCGAGAGTCAGTCAAGCCCCATGATTCCTGCTAGCGATCATGGATCCACAACTGGGTTGCTAAGGCCAGCGTCGCGATCCAAAGGAAAGGGAAGAGCACCGTCCGTGTCGACACCAGCAGATCTAGAGCAGCATGAGCCTCGGGTGGAGAGCGACGAAGAGCAATCAGTTCCACAGGGCAAGCGAGTCAGAAGTAATCCTCTTCACCCACTGCACAAAAAGGCGGTCAGATACAACCTGGATGACAATCTCTTGGACAAACAACAGCGGCTTTTTTCGCGCATATCGAGGACACAGGGAGTCTTGTCACGACACCGACCGCACCGACGCAAAATCCAGGAAGGAGAGGTCCTGAAGGCAGAGAAAATGCTTGTCCGGATTGAGGAAACACTACAGGACAAGCTTCCTGATGACTATGCAGAGAACGACAGTCTCAAGTCAGAGAATCGGGTTGTGGATCAGTGGCGAGAATACCTCGTGGCGTGTCGAGTGTCTTCAAATCCGGATGCGCCATTCTCTCTCCAGATGTACAAGACTCGTGTCATACCCGAGGTGCAAAAGGCAGGCACGCGGGTGTCACCGCAGTATGATATCCCGCTGGGTCGCAAACGGACCAAGGTAAATCTTTATTCACACCTGGACAAGACAATTGTCATCTGGGGGCCGTGTAAGCGAGGGACGAAGATCTTCATTATACGGCCGAAGTCTGCGGCGCATGCTATGGAATGGTACACTTTCCTGAGCCAGATGCTAGGCAGGCGCCGTCCATCTTCACTCCCGATATATGTCCCAGACCTTGGAGTATCTCTTGTTTTCAAAAATCCGTTCGAACAATTAGAAGCAATATATTCGAACAAGGGGAAGGGTGGTGTTCTGGGTCGCGCCGCAACGAAGGAGAACTCTGTCGCTACAGCGATCGTGCGCGGTTGCTTGGAGATGCTGGAACACCGCCCCGAATGGGCGGAGGTTCTGAACCGCTGGTCCAAGACTGAGATCATGGGGCTTGCCTGGAAGCGGTATGATCGATTAGAATGGATTTTTGGTACCAATGAAGCGAACATGTACGGCACAATTGCGATGCATACGACCCATGAGCTCGAGCTGCGACCAAGGCAACATTATCAGACGTACGTCAAGCACGACCATGAGAAGGAGGATGAGCCCCCTCCAGTAGAGGGCTTTCTTGTACGTCTCACATCGCAGCGTGGTGTACATCAGCGATTGAATAAGATGTTTTTCAAACGACTGTATTTCTTTACTCAGGATCACCACTTGTTTTTCTGCAGACCCTCCAAGTCACTGCCGCCGGCGCCTCCGAAGCTCGACCGCGATGAGACTACCGTGCCCTCAGCGCAGCAGATCTTGGACGCATCGCCTCTTTCTTACGATATCGATCCGTACCCGTTGCAGGACGGCGAGATTACATGGTTATCGAGTGGCAATAAGGAACATATTACCAAATACGACGAGCAGGCTTATGCTCAACAGCAAAGAAACGCCCACAACATTGAGCATGCAGACGGGTTCATTGATCTAAGCCGGGTCAAAGAAGTCCGCAATGTGCACCGTGATGCTTGCCCCGCTGACCCCAATCTCGAACAAGGGCCCGACGTCGATTTCCAACCTGACGCGATAGATTCGCGCCGAGATGACGGCGCCACGAAGCAGTTTGATGATGAGAGGACGTTTGAGATGCTCCTGCACAATGACCTTGTTGTTCGGTTCCAGGCGTACGATGAGATCACCAAGAATGAATGGATGAAACGACTTGATGCTCTGGTGAAATACTGGAAGGTCCGGCTGGCGACCGATGCAGCGGAGCTCAAGGTTCTCCGCCAGCGTAACCAAGAACTTCTTGGAATCGATGAGGAGATGGAGTCGATCATGGGGCAATTCGCTCGAAAGTGGGAGGTCAAAAAAGCCGAGGCCTCGCCTCTGCTGCACAACATCTGTGCTCTGTCGGGCTGCCGGACAATCAAGGTACATCACACGCCACCTTAATGGAGAAGCGAATTATTGACTGGAGTTGCAGATGTCTGGACAATTATATCGGAAACCTCGGCGCCACAGCACCTTCAAGCGATGCCATGTCGTCCTCATGGCCGGAAAGTTGTTAATCTTTCGCACCTCCTTGCGGAAGCGCAACGGCGCCGAAGTGCCTCACATACACCACAGCTTGGAGACCACCATCGATCTGGCCGACTGCTATATATACTCGGGTCTTTTGACCGAATCAGACTTGCTCTACTCAAATCAGACGTTCGACAGCAACCGGCCTGGGCACCACTCCCTCCCGCGAGTTTATCTCGCGACAGACGTCTACACAAGTAGTGACGAGGACACCGCCATCGCATTCGTGATCTGGCAGCCCTTGCGCAGAAACTACTTCCGCTCACGCGAGTACGGGACCAAGGGAGAGAAGCGGCAACGGTTGAAGCAGGTGTCCACGCTGGGGGTGCACGGGCGAACCATCGTCTTCAAGGCGCGCAGCCGTGTGGAGAAAGACCGGTGGGTGTTGAGTATAGCATCCGAGATTGACCGTCTGCAAGAAGACCGGCCGGAGGATGTGCGAATCATCTCACAGCAGACTTAGCGATTGTTTTTTGAAGTATAGCTCCACGATCCAACCCGCAGGATCGGCCTATTCTCTAATTTCTATATAGTCACCGCACACACATGAAGGACGAAAGGGAGGAAATATGTACATACTCAATGCAAACAAACATAATATACACAACATCGAACACCACCAACCAGCTTACAGTAAACACCTTGCCATCCCAACCGCAGTCTACGACAATTGTGGGCGTTCCAACTTCACCGCCTCCTTAACCACACGCTCCCTCACCTCCTGGCGATAACCCTCCCCGAAGCGACGCTCCGTATCGCCCTCCACAAGCCCGCGTTCCCAATCCTCCCAATTCAACCACCGCCACCTGGGCCACAGCACCGCGAGCACCCGGCCCGTGATCAGACTGCAACTCACCGGCCCGTAGGTATTACTATCCATGGACTTCCGGGGATCGCGCGCATCGCCCTCCAACCACACATGGTTGAACGGGACGACCTGCGCATCCTTCAGACAGGGTTCACGTGTCGTGATCCGATCTCCGGGCAGTCCGACGACGCGCTTGATGGCGATGTGGCGGGGATTCGCAGGGGAGCTATCACACCGGCGCCGGAAAAGAGAACAGTTAGCCACCATACCATTACCCTTTTGGAGAACCCCGGTCCCCGATCCCCCTCCCCCCCCCTTCAAACCACATCTTCAACGGGGGTTGAAGATGGTCGTTGAACAAACAGCCGAAGACTCACCGAAACGTAACAACCATCCCCCTCTCCAACCGCCGCTTCCGCTCCCACGGCCACAACCCGCCCCCGCCCCACATGTTCACCAGCACCATGTCGCTGGCCGTGTGCATCTGCTCGTAGTCCTCGTTCAGGTAGGGCGTCATGCTGGGCCCGCGCACCCACATCACCTGCAGCACGTGCTCGGAGAAGAAGAGCCCGATCGGGAGGAGCGGGAGCGTGGCGCCCAGCACCCGCACGGACCGCCGGAAGGGTAGCGGGAGGGTTGCGTAGCGCGCGCGGAGGGCGGAAAGGAAAGAGATGCGAGGGCGTTGGCGGGCTTGTTGTTGTTGTTGCTGCTGCTGCTGCTGCTGCTGGGCGTGCGCGTGCGCTTGCGCGCGGAGTTCGTCTTGGAGGTCTTGGACGAGGCGGTGGCCTGAACTGGTTGCGCGGGAGAGTTCTTCGCGGGCCACGACGCGGGGTTTTGTGCGGTTAGGGTTTGAATTGGGTGGTGGTGGTGTTGGTGGTGGCATATTCAGTGCTGGTTCGTTTGGAGGTAGGGAGGAGGCCCTTTTTGTTAAGGTGGGAGCTGGGTTGGAGCTGGGGTTGCGTGCGGAGGAGCGGAAATGAGGGTGGAGGTGGGGATGCGGTCGCGGAGTTGGGGAGGTTGAGGGTGTCCAATCGTTTCGTGGGAAATGCGCTAGATTATCGTGTAGCAAGGGAGGAAGAGGAACTGGTGCTGCTCAATTAGAGAGGAAAGAGTGTGTGTCGCATCGGAGTGCGCGATGCGAGCCGCGGAGATGATCGTGATATCGTGATAATTATTGCAAGCTTGTTTGCGGTGTTTGCACTGGTCGTTTCGGGAACGTTTGTCCTTTGACTCGGGACCCGGGCGTGGACCCGAACTATAGCTATTCTACGAAAGTATGCCGTCCTTTAGGACGAATGTCGGGTTAAAGCTTTTCACCTAGAATTCTCGCATCGCCCAAGAATAAGTGTTGCATTAGCTATCATAATTGATGGAAAATCTCAATGTCGATGGGGGTGGTGTGCATTGCTCCATTCGCACACGACCACTGAACATTTAGTCCCAGACGCCAGCCGAATCATAAAGTAACGTATTTGTCATAAGTTTTGTGCATGAATATCCATAGTCGCCAGTCTCAATTACCAATCCTTGGTCATGAGGCTATCCTTGGACAAAATTCCATCCGACGACGACTGTGAGCCATCCATGTCGATGATGCCGCTCGACTGGACGCTTTGCACGTCGGTGGCCGACGGAGGCCGGTCGACCTCGACGGGGTCATCGTCCAATCTCTCCGTGCGCCCGTCCTCGGACTTGTCCACCTCCTCCCAGTCGTCATCCGATTTGATGGAGAAGTCCTCGATGTAGCGTTTACCTCGCTGCGTGGTCGCGGTTTCGTTAACCCTCTGCTTCTTGGTCTCCGGTTGGCCGTCCAGTCCGGGCTCCATGGTGGGCGCGTCGGGGAGCTTGGCTGCGAGTACTTCAGATGACAGTAAGGACTCACCGTCGGTGCTTGTTGGCTGGGATTCGCTCTGCTCGTGGGGGATGCCGTTGCTGGGAACATCCTGATCCTCGGGTGGGAAGAATAAACTAGCAGACGAAGGCATACTGTTAGTATCCACTGGTCGAACAGTACAGACGATAACAGAAAAAGCTCAGATGAAGGCGAAGGGGAAACCAATGGTCCAGACTTACGGCACGAGCTTCTCATAGGCCACCTCGTCCTTGCGCTCAAAATTGCAGAAGATGATGCGCTCCAACTTGCCGATATTGCCAGCGGCCTCCAGGAACTGGCGCGTCTCGTCCAACACCGCCCTGGCGGCGGCTTCACTCGGGTACCCGTATACGCCCGTGCTGACGGCCGAGAACGCGATGCTCCTCATGTCATTCTCCACGGCCACCTCCAGACTGCGACGGTAGCAGCTGCGGAGCAGCGACTCGGGCCGCCGGGCGCCCCCGCGCCGGCGCTCGGATTCGTAGATAGGACCGACGGTGTGGATGATTCTTTTGCAGGGGAGCTCGTATGCGGCGGTGATCTTGGCGTCGCCGGTGTCGCAGCCGTCCAGGGTGCGGCACTCGCGCAGCAGGTCGGGCCCCGCGGCGCGGTGGATGACGCCGTCGACGCCCCCGCCGCCCAGCAAGCTCTCGTTTGCGGCGTTGACGATGCAGTCGACCCCCTGCAGCTTTGTGATGTCATTGCGGACCAACGCGATCGTGTCGTTGAAAGCCTTGAACGGCGGCGCCAGAGGGGACGCGGCGGGGACCAACCGCTTCAGCTTGTACAGGAGTGAAACGGTCGGGATCTCGGCGAGAGGTATGAGGGGGCCTGCCATATTGCAGCACGGTCGTGTAGCTCGGATCGTAGTTGGTTCCCAGGAATTGTTTATCCAAACGGCGGTGATACGAAGTCTTCCCCGCGTTTGGACAAAGAGGTGGCGGGAGCCGGGCACTTGCAGCGCAGTTTGATTCGATCGAGGGAGAAGTCCTGCACGAATGAGACAGTTCTTTGCTTGGTAATACCTTGATCCAACAAATATCAGATCAAGAAAGTAGGCGATAGATAGTGTTCTCAGCAGATGTTCTTTGATGCAAGTAAGCTGTTGTGGAGGGGGTGGTTGAAGCTTGCTTGTCACACGTGATTGACACATGATTCACCCTTATCTTATCGCCGGGCCAACCCACAGGTGAATCTTGTCACAAACGTCATAGTGGGCTGGAATTGACCAACAGAGCTCTGTGTGTCTTGGGTCACTGTGGAAGGGAAGAGCTCCCGGTTGCCTCAGGTTAGCAGTATATGGAAGCTGCGGTGTATCCTTTGCGTGTCTCTTAGGCCCCAGATATCACTCTGGTGCCAATTCATGACGCGAGACGAAAAACAACAACACAAGCTGATCGCGAACCACGAAAGAGCAATTGCGCAACCAACTGATCATATTTGGAATTCGGTTTGTGGAAAAGCAGACAAGCCCTCCTTCCTACAGCAATACAGGCATGGACAAGCTACTGGTCGAATAGTCTATCAGGCACACAGACGCTACAGAACACGGTAGCAATATCAACGCCCAACCACCTCATCTCCGCGCCGTACAGTACTCCCCATACTGAGTATGAATCTGATCTACGACGTCAGAATCCAAATCGATCCACGGGAAACCCACAATCGATCGAGATCGAAATCTACCTGTCACCCGACTATTCATTACAAAACAGTCCACACTTCTATATCCTCACCCGAACCAATAATTGCCAGCCCAGTACAGTACATGAGGAGTCAAACAATTGAATTATGCACGGGTAGCAAACCAAGCGCCTGCAGGAACTGGAGGTCCGTCCTCCTCCTTCACCCCACGAAAATGAATAAAGAGATAAGCCTCCGAATGGACGAGACGGAGAAGAAACAGAGGCTTGAGCCTCTTTATTGACCCAGAATTATGACAGATGCTAAGGCAGATCGAGAGATCGAACCACACAAGGTTTAGATGTCACCGCTTCTTTGTGATCGGGCCCTCAGATCCAGCGCCGGGACCCCTTTCCCATGGCCCCGGGCTTCCCTGCCTGATCTTAGATTACCCGATACGGCGCATGATGTATGCACGGTGCAGCTGTTCTGTTTTACTTTGATGATCTGACAGATCGAGTCCGAAGTGATCTGTAACACTGCATCCGGGGTCGAGCGAGAGAGCAATCCACAAAGGCATTAGACTACCGCCAGTAGATCCCGAATCAAGCCACATCTTGCAGATAGGACGCGAATGATTGGCCCAGGAGAGGGCAGGGCGAACTAATGCAAGGGCCAGAAGCAGATTCCTCTTTGCACAACTGCGGGCTGATGGTGGGAGCTTTTGCACGCGACAGTTGAAACCTAAAGAATTATGTGGTTTGCTGGTTTTTGTTTTCATTGGAAATGAGATGCATTGTGATTTGTCAAATGATGTCAGTGACAGTCTCAAGCTACAGGCCCTGCGCGATTAGTCGCAATATGTATGCATACACACACACACACTCTCTCTCTCTCCTTTCTTTGATATCATCATGCATGTGTACTGTACAGTACAAACTGCATCGCCACATCATCCCAACAACTGCATGCTCGCAGACAACCCCTTCGCTTGCCCCCTTGTTGCTGCATTTCCATGCATGGGAAGCACCTTCGACTGGGAGAGGGTCGTGTACGAGAATATTCGGACCACAAGAGGAAAGTGAACACGATCGTCAATCTCTTGACCTCTGCCACCATGAATTACTCCGCATTCGGAGTTCGGATGCACGTCAATCACCCCTCCCCCCCTTTTGCCCAAAAGGACAAACATATTACGAGAGTATTTACTTTGTGTATGAACGACGGGGACGAGGGCCCGGGCACAAGAAGCACCCGAACTCATCCATGCTGCAATGGATGCAAGTCCAGCACTGCAGATTAGTGTGGTTGCCTTCCTCGCTGCCTATTCCCTAAGTAGGATGAAACCTTCTCGGCTCGGGATGACGATTAGCAGACTTTTGACAGACAGGTGCCAGATGCAATCGATCCTTCCAGGTGAGATGACTTGGAGAGAGGGTCTCAAAAGATACCCACGGATACTGGGTTGCGAATGCCCCTAGACCGGTAACAGGTAAGCCGGCCATAGAAGCAGAGTCACTCGCCTATCGGAGGGATCCCAAAGAAAAACTCTGGATCGATCCGTGACACTCGCGAAGCAATACTATGTCCATGGGAACGTAATGTGAATCAATGTCTCAATCTGAGTAATCATGATTCTTTGAGCTTATACCTTTACAAGGATCGCCAAGGCATGCCTTTCCCCTTCTCCAAACCTGAACCACGGGGGAAAGCTTTGGAGGGGAAGTGGAACGCTAGGGTTGTACGGGTATTGCGGCTCTGTGTATCTGCGCTAAGGTAGACAGTAAGTTAACAGATCCCCTCATGCGGTGTCGAATCTAAATCAGGAGTCTGCATGGCAAGCGGGATATGACCCTCCCCCCCCCCAAAAAACAATGGATTTGTAGTTTAGGTACTCCGTACACCGTACCGTACACAACCGAACCCCTGGGGGGGGAGCTTTCGAATTCGATTTAGCCTCCACAGAAGAAAAAAAAAAGGTTCTAAGGTAGTTTTTTGTGGATCAGTTTCGAAAAAAGAAACTTTCGCATCATACATGCGGTCCAATAGCTGGGTTCCAAATCATCCCCGAGAAGAGAACCCGAACATCCACTGCGCAGTGGATGGAACTAACTATTTGGAGTCTGGTGGGTTTTGTTGGGTGAAAAGCTATCCTCTCCGGGCGATCAGGTAGACTAGATGCCACAGAGATCTGGGACGGAGACGGCGGGAAGGGCCCAAGCAAGGGGGAGAAGAGATGATGGGGGCCGGGGGAAGGGGACGACAAAGAAGTTCTTCGCTAACTGTCCGAGAAGGAAAAGAGAAAGGGGACAGAAAAAGGAATAAGAGAGGGGGCAAATAGATCGTCTACTCTGGACTAGTACTCCGTATCAGCACTGGTTTACCTAGTAGCTAGCACGCAACCCCCCCTTAGCAAGAAGGATTGAAAAAGATTTTCTTCATGTTTGCGTATCTAAACCTGAATAGTCAAGAGTCCTTTTCTCTCTTCATCCATCGCTCGGTTCAAACCTCCAGCAAAAGCCCGAACACCCAAAATCTTTTGCACTACGTCCCGTTACCTGCTAAGACACGAGAGTACTAATGAAAAACAGCTGAGCGACAGGCGAAAAGTGGAGGGAGGGAGGGCAATCGGTCTTC